CGGACTGCGGACTGCGGACTACGGACTGGGTATAAAACACGGACTTTGGCATAAAACGCGGACTTAGCATTACGCACTGGGTATAAAACACGGACTCAGGTATAAAACGCGGGCTGCGCGGACTAACTGCGGCCTACCAACTGCAGTCCGTGTTTTCACTGACCGGTCGTAACTAATATTACGAGAACAAACCCTCTCGTCGGCACGTACTTTGCGATCGATTCATTTGTTTTCGCTCCTGCTAGAGGGAGGCCAGTTTCACGTCTACCTAACAGGCAGGCACAAAACTCGGCTGTTCAAAGAATTTTTGCTTTTTTAACATGCCAAACCGACCAAAACTCGAACGCATTCTTTAATCTACGATTACTAATAGTAATAAAACAATTATTCCACTCGCGCTTGCTAGATGTGAGATGATCCAGCCAACTCGGCGCTACGTGCTTCGTTGGCTATCTACCGTCTCATATCACGCTCGTGGAGAACTCGTGGAATATTTGTTTCCTCAGACATGCGCCCACGTGGACATGCCTCAGGTTCAGCGGATTTACCCTATTACCAAAACCGTGGTAATTTCTTCAGTGATTTTGATCCGAAGTCTTATATTTTTGGCGGAATTCATTTGTGATTTTCCGATAAGCAGAAGAAATAATCCTTTTCCGCTTCATGTAATCAGTTCAATACTTTATTGCGCCATTTTGTTTTGGCCTCATTCTACCAGAGGACTGCAGGAACGCCATACAGTTGACAAGTGTTGGAGAAAGGCGGCTCGTATATTCTGCAACAGATGTCGCTCGACTGGGCAATGATGTAATGCAATGGAGTCAAAAGTCATCAACGCTACTCATTCAAACACTCAAAATGGCAGTGCTCTTTCACTCAGCTTAAGAAATGTCGTCTGTAAAGGTTTGCGTACGAGTGAGGCCGTTTGCGACGCGAGAAAACAACCGAAGATGCAGATGTATAATTGGGATGCACGGAGCGACAACAAGTGAGTCAAAAGTGGCAATACTAATTTAAATCTTATCTATTCAATCTCAGGATTAGTGGGTGAACAGGTGCAGGGAATAGGTTTATTTTGTATCCTCTGTTTTTTCCTGTTTCTTTTGAATTGGTATGAATGCCTTAGTTTCCGATCCAAAAGTTACGTGAACATTATCGTTTAGAGCTGAGATACTAATGAACAGCTCACTTGCTAGAATTTTTGGGTTTTCTCCACACTTCAACGTCAGAAAGTCTCGCTAAGCTTATATTTCTCCTGGTCAATTTGCATATATGCGGTTTTAAACATTTTTTGGGAATATTTTTGTTGTTTTGAGTTGAACATTTTGTACTAGAAATAATGACGTTTATATTTTTGTTTAAAAAACTTCATTCTATTTTCATCCCGTTTAACAAATCATATGCTTGCTGAAATTCTTAAAATTTACATGTCTTCACAGTGAGAAATTATCGGAACCAGAGGAAAATAAAATAACTTAGTTACATATATGTAAGCATTGAAATAATCGAAACATAATACTGTTCAAATTTGTGACTCAATTTTTATTATTTGGCTCAAAAAAATTAATTTGAGATTGTGGTAAATATGATCTTACTGTAAGGTAATATTGGCATGATCTGTTTTGATTTGCATATGTGTATAGCTATACTTAATATCAAATACAGGTGTGCATACAAAAATTATTGTGTTTTCTTCAAGGAAATTCTGACTTGATACCTCTCAATTCTAAAGTGACAAAATTATATTTTGTGACATTTGTAGCAAGTATTAAAATGTCAGTGTGGTGATTCTGCTTACTACAAAATGTTTAATGGATGTCCTGGAGTGTGTCACAGGTTTTTGCTTTGACAATGTTTTGATATATGACCGGAATGTACTGAGGGAGGGGTGTGGTGGGTGGTGTGCTGGCGTTCTTTTTAAGAACTCCCAAAAAATGAAGAAAAAATATATATATAATAAAGTGGTTTGGAAAGTTTAACCTACAACCTTGGTCACAAGGGTTGGAAAAAAATCATTCTATTCACATTTTGCCCCTCCCCACCCCTGTGCAATGTTGACAAAACACTTTCATCTGACACAAGTTTGTATTTTACCATTTTCCAACATTGGAAGGGGGAATGGGGGTGTTGACACTTATTCTGTAGGGATTACGATTACGATTTCATGTTTTTGGCATTTTCCAACACAATTTGTCCATGATTGTAGGTTAAAACAATTTAATCTAGGTTGAAGTCATTCTGACCTAAAGAACAAATTGACCTGTGCTAGTAATACACAAGTACTAGTAATGATGTCAGAGGGAATTACCTCAGTGTATGTGATAGGTGAGCATCCCACATAAAAATTATGTAAAATGTAAAACAGTTATTTTGTTTATGGAGTCACAATAAAGAGGGTGGTTAAGGGGGTAAAGGT